TTTTTTTTTTTTTTTTTGTTTTTTTTGTTTTTTTTGGGGGGCTTCCTGTTTGAGGTGAAGGGGGTGAAAAGGAAGGGACATGGCGGGATGGTATTAGACGACAAGAGGTTCTCGGGTTAGGCTGTTGTGAAATGACGGAAATGCCATTGAGGTGCGGTCCACATGGAGTTTTGTTTTGTGTTTATAAGAACAGCTGAAGGGAACAGAGATTTCCCCTTTTCGGGCCGAAGAACAAAAGATTCATTCGCCAGCGAAAAGCAGGCAACCAAGCACATTGGTTTGGTTCGGTTCTCTTTGCGTAGGTTAGGATTATACCTTTCCCCTTCCTTTTTTTTTTCTTTGTTTTTTAAAGTAGATGTTGGATTAATTTATCTTTTAATTTTTATTTTAAACAGGATATTAAAATGCACTTGGGTCTAATGACGTCAGACCATGTATAAATGCATTTCCCCACCCTCAAGGCAACGATTTGAATCTGACCCCTTTCGTACTTGTTTCAAAAAAAAATCCAGATATTAAAATGCTAGCTTAAAGTGAATCATCTATATAATTTAGTAATAATTTTTTATTTATTTGGGAGGATCTAAATCTAAATTGCATGGTATACAAGTGAGGTCGATTAAGGAATAAAAGAATTTGTTTCTCATTGTATAATCTAAAATAAAAGAATATTGGCATAAAAAAACAAGATATTAAAATACTTTTGCTCAATTTTAGCTTACTTTTTAATAAAAATTTTTATTTTATAACTTAAATTATATTAAAATATAAAATAAGAACAATTAAAAGGGAAAGGACATTTATCATGGGAAATTCACCTCTCATTCAACAATTCTTATTGTATAGCTGTCTCTTATACTCATCTTGATCTGTATAAGAGACAGGTTATAAACTTTACTTTTTAACATCAATGTTACATAAAAAATTTAATTAAATAATTGATAAAATTAAAATTAATTTTTATTTTTATGTAAATTAATAATAAATTTTTTTATTAATATTAAGTAAAAGTCATAAATTTAAATCTCTTTATCATCACCAACACTAAACTCTAGATTAAAAAAAAAAAAAAAAAAAGAAGCTGTGATCCTTCTCCTTGCTTTTGTATTAAACATTAATCCACCATTTAAGTGTGAGATTTTATTCCTCAAAATTATTGTATTGAAAATTTTAGCTATATTAATGTAGAAATTTAGTATTTTATAATTTATATTAGAGTACAAGTTAATCATATATTTATTATATATTTTTATTATTTAATAATAAAAGTAATGTATGTTAGTTTAAATTTTAAAAATTAAAATTTTAATTTAAAAAATATCATACTTTAATAAAGATTTTAAAAGTTAATCATTAAATTTTTATTCTTATAAATTAAGCATACAAAATTTTAAATGGATTGTATATA